TGGGGGGCGGGAGATGGCCATGATCGTGGTCGCCACCCAATGCAGAGTTTGCCACCTGAGTAAAAAATTTTACAAAATTTTTGTTCGTGACCTGATTTTGTCGTGAACTGAGGCATTCATGAGCCGAGGTACCACTGTATGTAGAAAGTACAGTCTAGCTAGCATAGCTTTGTGCAAGCTGCCCACCTGGTTCCTTGAAGACCTGTGATTTCTGTGGTGAGGTTCTTTTGGTATTTGTATAAGGTCTTGTCCCTATCCCACCCTGCATTTGGGGAAGCCTACACCTGGGTGCCTATACTGGAGAGAAACCTTGGTGCAGTCTCCTTTGGTGCCTGCATTGGGCTTTCCTACTTCCTGGAAAAAGTGCTCTTAGCATGCATACTAAGGGACAAAGATATTCAGTTTCTTTTTCTAGTGGAATGTATCTCCTTTATTCCTTCCTCTTAAGCCTCTGTGAAGATTCCAGAAGACTTCCTTGCTTTTCGTCTGCTGTCTGTCTGTGCATTGTTCATCTCTAGTGCCCCCAGCTCACAGATGGACTTTAGAAGATTCTTTGTTCTTTAGGCACCTGTTCATTTTACTACTCATTAGGTTTGGTAAGTGGTCGTGTTTGGCATTGAGATGGCCTTAGCCAAGGCATCTGCTTTGCAGCACCAGCATCCGGATGACGTGGCTGAGTGAGCCACTTATGGCCAACAGTAACAGAAGATAATGACTGTGTTCACACATATTGCCAAACCAAGCCATACACAGTTTCTGTATGGCATGGTACCTCACCTTGTGTCCTATGTTCACACATTTGCATGGTAACTACTCTTGCATATTGCCCACACAGCTCCATCTTTCCTCCAAATGGCAGCACATATCCCATCAGCTCCCATTACTGGGGATCAATCCCAGGGTGCACTGTTCCAGCCTGTCCTTCCTGCATTTCCTCTGTTGGCCCACATTCCTCCTGGGCATGGCCTCAGCCAGCTGCTGCTTTTTGGGGGGTGGGAGGGCAACAGCTGCAGAGCCAACACCTATTCATTAAGTTAGGACAGTTGCTGTGTGGGAGCAACAGAGCTGCACCCCCTCCTGATGCCATGTGCTGTGCCCATGCAGAAGCACACCCAGCCATCCATACCTCTCCCCCCTCTCTGCACAAGTGCTGTATTTGCAAATGCTGCTAGGCTGCCCCCCCCCCCCCCGCCCCCAGAAGGCTGCAGCATGGGCTCTGGTGCCAGGGATGGAGGGAGTGTGCCCTGCCTGGCACAGTGTCCCAAGGCTGTCCGTCTGGACATTTACCTGGGAAACTGCTTGGCAGGCTATTGGGGGTGGTGAGGCTTGTGGGGTGTCTCCTGGACTGTTGGGGAAAGAGTGGGAGTAGGGCAGAGGGCAGGAGGCGGAGTACAAGACATGGGCTCCCTGGGACACTCACCCTGGTGGTGAGGCCCCTCGCACTGCCTGTGTACTGCTTCAGCACAGGGCAGTGACCAGGCGGGAGCACCGCACCTGGCCTTCCCTGCAGTTTCTGCTGCTGGACGCACTCCCTGTCTTCCCTCGCAGTGTGTTCTCCCCTGTGTTCGGTCGCCCTGCCTCACTTTTCTCCCTGCTGCTGTGCCTGCCTTGCATTGCCGCCATGCCCATCTTGTGAGGCCTGACATCTCCGCAAAGCTAGCCTTGCCGATGTGCCTGTCCCTCATGAGATGGACACACTGGCAAGGCCTTGCAACATGAGGATGGCTTCAAGGAGAGGTCAGGCTGTCCCATGAGTTGGGCACATCAGTGGACATCTTGGTGAGGTGATGAGGTGGCCAGGCATGCCAGCAAGGCAGGGTGAGCATAGTGGCAGGCAGGGCATCACAGAAGCACAGCAGGTAGGTGGGGCATCCAGGCATCAGGGAGCATGCACTGGGAGGGAAGGCAGGGTGAGTGGGCACAGCCAATCGGCGCCCTGCTGCTGGCAATTCAGCAGTTGCTAGGCAGTGGGAAATGGTGCCTGGAGTAGATGCTGCAACTACTCTTGCCCCCGAACTCACTGTGGAAATTGGGAAATGATGGAAAAACATAAGTGAAGTCGCACATGATGACAAGCAATGGTGTAGCATGGAAACCTTAGAACAGTCCATTGTGTGGGGTTCATGGTTACTAAGCATGCCACGCTTTACTGTGTTTGCTAAATTTACACATAATAACAATCTCCAGCATAGCTTTTGGTCATGTGTGAACACACCAAACTTATTCTACCAATAGTTGAGGCTAAAATGCGAAGGGAATTTAGAGTAGAATGTTGCCCACCCCCCATAGATTACCAACTGGTATCTTGCAAGAATGTTATCTTGTGCACTTTGCATGAACATGATAAGAAGTAGGAGTTACTGAACATAGCACTGATTTGTAGCTTTGCTAATCACAGCAAATGGCTTGGGACAGGAATGGAAGCTTCACTCAGCCCTAGGGGAAAGAATATATCCCTGTTACCTACACTGTGATCTCATTCTGTTGGGTCCTCCACAGCTACTTTTGGCTAAAAGAAAAGACAAGATAGGTATCAAAGTCCTCAGGTTCAAAGACATATTCAAATGAACATGTAGCTTGACCCCTTGTTAACAAGTAACAAGATGCTAGGACTGGAGCTATTTACCTAACTGTTCTTAAATGTTCAGAAGAAAACATTCATGCTTATTAAGTTAAATTTTATTTTACTTAAAACATAACCGTATGAAAATAGCCATTGTTATTTGAACACTCATATTGTTCTTGAAGGTGATGCAAAATTATTGGGAACAAAAGGAGCTTTTAATAATGGAGGTCTTAATAAGTCTTAAAGCTTCTCCAGAGTTATTAAAAAGTATGTGTATTTGTCTTGACAAAATAGTATTAAAATGTCAAATAATCCTGTAACTTCTAAAAGTCAGAAGCAAGTATCCACGATTACGGTGGCAAAAGATTTTGGCCCCCTTGCAACAGTGTCTGTAAGTAAGGTGAATTACAGCCATTCATTTGGGAAAAGTAAAAATGTGTACTTAAGGAAAGAATAGGATTGGAAGCTAAATTTCCACTTAGTGAACCTTGTTTCTTAGAGATGTATTTGTTCCCCAATAGTCTAGTCTATCCAGATTGTTTTGAGATTTAAAAAAAAGCTACTGAGAATTAATCTTCTGCCTATTTGCATAGTGTTCTATTATTGGATATTTTATGAATATGGAAGTATGAACATGAATGGAACATGAACATGAAAGTATGAAAATGAGGAAGAACCCAGAAATTGGCTTTTTGAAAATTCAAACACACCTTTGGATGAGAGTATATTTTATGACCTCTATCAAATACAGAAATTGGCTTAATAAAAATATTTTCTTAGCTCTTATTTTTTGCCTTACTTTGTTGGGATACTTAAAAGGTTGTTGTTGGGTTTTGGCATACATTTTTTGTAAATATCCTAGGAATATACTTGAAGAACAGTTGAAAATAATTACTGTAAATAAGCAAATACAGTTAATTATTAGCTTTTCTGAAATCAGTGGTTTCAGTAGTTGATAGTGAAAGTATAGGATATAATTAATTTACAGATCTTCCTAAATGTGAAAATTGAATTGGAGCAATATAGATTTGTCATGTCTCTGAAATGCATCATACTTGTCTTATAACTACTGTGGGTGTCTTCCAAAAAGCCTCCTTGGATTGCACAAGGGCTTATACCCCACTACCACCCATAAAGTGGTGGTGGGGAACAAGCAGATCAGGGTTAGGGGGTTTAGAGTAGAGAGAAAAATAGCAGGGAAAGATTTAAGCATGCTGCTGTCTCTCTGTCACAAATTCTCACATTCCAAATTGCTTCTACATCCAGTTCAAGCCTCTGAACAGAGACATGGTGGCTCAGTGATGGAACACATGCTTTGTAGAAGGCCCTGGTGGCCTCTCCAAGTAAGCCCCGGAAAGCCATTGCCAGCCAGTGTCAACAGTACTAGATAGAGCAGTGGTCTGACTCATAAGCCAGATTCCTGTGCTTTGGTCTCTATGGGTGTGAGTGTGCATCCTGAGTTTTGGTTTTCTTTGAATGAGGTTGTAGAAGACTTCAGACTTTTTGTAATATTTGCAAATATACAAGTTGAGGTTCACCATACTAACAGGTGAACACTGCATCAGACTTCCAGGTGAATTAGCAACAATGTAGGCTTCGTGCAAGTCAGGTGTCTTTCCCTTTCACTCCTACTTATGGCTCTCTTACACAATTGAGACATATCATTGTATACTACTGGCTATCAACAGACCTTTATCAGGTCTTAAGAGGAATTGCCTCAAGGCAACCTACAGCAATTGCCTGATCAACTCTTACTAGAGACAAGAATGATCTTGAGGGACTGTTGAGACTAATCTTAACAACACAATAGCTTTATTTGGATGCACTCAACTGAGAACCCTTTCTTGTAATTTAAAGCTATAGGTTCTGAACCAATAGGTTCAAACTACAAAAGGGATTTTCACTGAACAGAAGAACAACTTCATGATGCCATGAGCTGTTCAGCAGTGCAGCGGACTGCAGTGGAAAGTGGTAGACTCTTCTTTCCTCATCTAGCAAAGGCTAGATGGCCACTTCCTGGTATGGAGTAACACTGGCTATCCTGAATTGGAAGGGGTTGTGGTAGATTATATTTCAGGCCCCTTCCAGCTGTCTGATTCTCTCACTCTGTGATGGGTGGTTGTTAGTTCTTGTGCATTCTGAAAGAGTTAAAGTAATAGACAGAAATAGTGGGGGTTATACAATAATGAAGAGCTCTGTATGCTGTAAGAACCACATGTGGCTCAGAACAGATGGAGCAATGAGTACATTTGTGGAAGGGAATGTCTTCTGCAAAAGGGGGAACCTTTAATACATTTTCTAAGTAGGAGGGAAATGTTTGAATAATCCAATTCCTGAGAGCCTGATAGTCAAGTGTTGTCGTCTCCAACCTGCTGCAGAGGCTCTTGTGAATTGGTGTTCTCACATGTGACTGTTGCTTTTTTTCACCCTTTAGGAAAGCTCCACAAGGATACAGCATTGATCCAAAGGCAGCTGTTGAACTGGAGCAGATCTGTTGCTCCCATTCAGATCTTCCTGAAACTGCTGAGTTCAGCGTAACAATGTCTTTGGGGCACCTAGCCAAGGGAGCCAGCCTAGATGACCTTATTAAGACTTGTATTCATTCTTTTGGTGAGTTGAATGATCTACCTTTAACTATTTTCAGACTGTTCTGCTGTGGCATTTTTGGTGCTTTATTCTGCATTGTTGTAGTTATAGTCAAATGTGACCGACATTTGTTATTATCTTACACTTTGTGTGATGCATACATTATTGTGTGTCTGTGTGTGTGTATAGAATGTTTAATTGTGTAACTGCTGCCCTTGCAGAAACTGATAAGTACCGTACAGTTGTCATCTTGATGAAATGATTTCGTCCCCTCCCTCTGTTCCCAAATCTGAATACATATCAGGCACATGGATAATGATTAAGAAATGTATATGGACTGTTGTGGAACTGGACTGAGGTGATGAAACCTGGATATTGTTTTGTACTGTCTTTCTGTAAAACTGGCATCTTAGTAAAGCTAAATCAGTGGTTGCAGTGAAGCAGAATACTTGACTATTTTAGCACCAAGGGAATTGTTCAGCTTCCTTGTAAAAAGGAAAGAAATGAAGTAATAGGCTCAGTGGTGTAGCTTTTAGTTAATGTTTGAATTTTTCATGCTTTTTATTTCTTTGCCTTACAGAATCCCTTTAAACAGATTTAGCATCATGCAGCCTAATCATGTTTACTCAGGAGTAAGTCCTACTGAGTTCAAATAGGGCTTACCTCCAAGTAAGCTTACATACATAAGATTACAACTTTAGATGTTTAAAAATAAGCAGGCTCATTTGGTAATTTGGTATTTTCATCAGTTTCTCTAGTAGCTGCAGTGTAATTATATTCATAATCATAAAATATAGAAGTGCATTTAAACCATTACACTATAAATGCTGGAAGTCTGATAAGGATGTATGTGTTGTGTTTTCCACACTCTTGCCTACATTTGTAATTTTAATAGTTTCATTTGAGATGAGCTGAACGTTTTGGATCAGTTTGTTTCATGTCCCATTTCTTTTTATAGCTTTAACTTTTATATTTTCTAATGCATAACTATAAACACAGGTGAAAGCATATATTATTTCAGTAGCAACTAAGTAAATTGCATGTGGTCTTGCTAGGAAAGAGGAATAAAGGATGTACTGTTAATCAAGTGTAGATGATTGAACAGACCATTTGAGTTGTTGTTCATGTGTGTGTGGCATAATACAGTTTGATAGCCTCTTTCCAGTGAACGATTTAAGAGGAGCTGGATAGGCTTTGTACTCTGCCTTCCTGAATCATGCTCCAAACAATGACTAATCTTCCAAGCACTTTCAGAGGAAAGGCATGCACATGATTTACTTATGACAAAGCATTTACCAAATAAGATGCATACTAGGCGAAGAAAGTGATGGCATGAAACTTCCAGTAATCATTTTGTTTCCTGCTCTTCGTTTTCATTCCATATGTAATCCAGATAATGTATATATTTTGTCATAATGGCAAAGAAGCAAACATTTTATTCTGCTACAGTCATCTAAGCAACATATTTTATTTATCTTATTGATTAAAATGAATTGAATTAGACTGTTGATACTGCAGAACTTCTGTTAGCAGCTCTCCTGCTATGACCATAACATAATTAACAAGGGCAAACTCACATGTAGAATTTTTCCTTAACATTTTTTATGTGAAGGTGAGTTGTACTGATTTCCTTGCAACTTCCTTACAAGACAGAATGCTTAAGCTGGCATTCCAATATATTTTGAGGACTAAACCCTGTTGGAGACTTACTTCTGCCTTATTATTGATAGGAGTGTAGTATAGGCCATCGCCGTTGGTTTATCTTTGTTGTTATATTATGTTTTGATGGGGGTGGTTAGTAATAAGCAAGAATTTCAAATTATGTATACAAAAGCTGTTAAGAAATTGATACATTGTGTTCAAACGGTATATATTTTTTAAAATGATTACTATTTTTCCTAAATGGAGTCTGCTGACATGTAGTTGTAACTTTACAAGGCTCAGGACTAAAATCTGGGGGCTACTATAAAACATTTTCCTTTCATTGACAGGGATGATACACAATGAGTAGACCAGGTATGATACTATTTTAAGAACGTGTATTGTATATTGTATTTGTATTTTGGAACTTTTCAGTAGTTTAAATCAGTCCTGCATCGAAGGTGGTCCAACCACATAAGGAGGATTAAGGAAGTTACCTTTCAGTTATCTTTGGAAGCTATCCATATTGCAGTAGAGGTCAGAAAAAGAGAAGGGAATTAGAAGAATTCTGTTCTACTACTTCAATCACCTGAAGTGCATTTGTTGAGGTAATAAAGATAACAGTGTTTGTCAGTCCGTTGATAATCGGATCTATAAGCTATCTGTAATTCTGATTCTTAACTCTAAAATTTACCCGTGTCTTGATTTCAGCATTATCTGAGCAACATACTTCATTTTGTTTATTTTAGCATGCTTAAAATCTTCATCTGTTGTGAGATAAATGTTTAACATTTCAGTTTAAATAAAACTCATTGTCATTAAATGAGCTGACTTTGGTTAAATAAAACGAAAACCTGGTGTTCAGAGAAATTTATTCAGGGATATGTCATCTGTGCTTAAAAATAAAAACTCTCCACAATTGTATTTGTTTTGGAAATATGAAAATGGTACAGAAATATGCTCTTGATATATCAGAACTGTAAGATGTATGACATCATAACAAATGTGTAATAGGTAACTTGATAAGTGCCTGGAGTAATATTGTCCATGGGGTCATGATAGGTCTGGCACAACATCTCAAGAATCTCAGTTTCTATTGTAAACTGATTTACACTTTTGGGCAAGGTGTTAGAGCGAGTGGTGGCGGGGCAACTCCAAGCACTCTTGGATGAAACTGATTATCTGGACCCATTTCAGTCCGGCTACAGACCCGGGTACGGTACTGAATCTGCCTTGGTCGCCCTGTACGATGACCTGTGCAGGGAGAAAGACAGGGGGAGTGTGTCCCTGTTGGTTCTCCTGGACCTCTCAGCGGCTTTCGATACCATCGACCATGGTATCCTTCTGGACAGGCTTGCGGGATTGGGGGTCGGAGGAACTGCTTTGCAGTAGTTCCGCTCCTATCTCAATGGCCGGTTCCAGAAGGTGGTGCTGGGGGACTATGGCTCTGCGCCATGGCAGTTATGCCATGGAGTACCGCAGGGGTCCATTTTGTCCCGTTGCTGTTCAACATTTACATGAAACCGCTGGGAGAGGTCATCAGGAGGTGTGGGCTGCGGAACCATCAGTACGCTGATGATACCCAGCTCTACCTCTCGTTTTCCACCAATCCAGGTGAGGCAGTGGCTGTACTGAACCGGTGCCTGGCCGAGGTAATGGGCTGGATGAGGGCCAATAAACTGAAGCTCAATCCAGACAAGACGGAGGTCCTGTTGGTTGGTGGTTCTGGCTTTGGAGAGGGTGAACGGAACCTTGTTCTGAATGGGGTTGCACTCCCTCTTAGGGACAAGGTTCGCAGCTTGGGAGTGCTCCTTGACCCGGAGCTTTCACTAGAAGCTCAGGTGACAGCAGTGGCGAGGAGCACTTTCCTCCAGCTTTGGCTGATCCACCAGCTGCGCCCCTATCTGGAGTACGACTGCCTCACAACAGTGACACATGCATTGGTGACTTCCCGTCTCGACTTCTGTAACGCGCTCTACGTGGGGCTACCCTTGAAGACGGTCCGGATACTTCAACTGGTTCGAAACAGAGCTGCCAGGCTGCTGACGGGGACTGGGCGTTGTGTTCACATGACTCCAGTTCTCCGTCAGCTTCACTGGCTTCCCATTGAAGTCCGGGCCCAATTCAAGGTGTTGGTGATGACCTATACAGCCCTAAACGGCTTGGGTCCTGGTTACCTGAAGGAGCGCTTGCATCCATATATGCCCAGCCGCCCCTTGAGATCGGCGGGGGAGGCCCTTCTCCGGGAACCCTCCATGAAAGAAATTAGGAGGGTGGGTACTCGGAGGAGGGCTTTCTCTGCGGTGGCACCTAAGTTATGGAACACGCTCCCCAGAGAGGTCTGCCTGGTGCCGTCGTTATTTGTTTTTCGGCGCCAGGCGAAGACCTTTTTATTCAAGCAGCATTTTAACTGTTAACATTATTGGTTTTATCTGGCCAGGGCGGCTTATTTTATACTGTATTGTTGTATTTTTAATTTAATATTTATATTTTTAATTTATATTATAATTATTTTAACGTAATGATGTGAGCCGCCCCGAGGCTTTGGCGAATGGGGCGGCATAAAAATGTTTTAACAAATAAATAAATAAATAAAAATAAATGGAGAAAGTGCCTGTCTTTTACAGTGGCACATAAAAAGGCAAATTAGTCCCCGCCCCCCATAGATTAGTTTTATTTAAGTAGCTTACAAAATTGTTTTTTATCTCCTAACAAGACTTTGTCTGTTAGATCTCTTTGGACAGTGCTGATTTAGCATTGCTGCTCTAGAATTTTCTTAGGCTTGGAAGGTTGGTGGGCTTTCAGCATTAGCAAATTGCTGAGGTAAGGGCAAGGACCTGGCAGCAAACTGCTGTTTCCAGGGTTAAGCATGTTTTTCTGTTTGGAGTGGAGAAAGGAATTAGCTGTGTTTTGTGCAGGGTGGACCCTTATGGGTAGAACTGCAGTCAGATATTTCATAACCACCTTAACTATTCTCTCTGCCTATCTTTCATGTTGGGAGGTCCTTGGATTTAGCAACTTTGTCTCATTTTGTGTTTGGATTTTTAAGTTGTACTCCTAATTACCAGAGCTTTTTTAAAAATGGTACACGTTCTGTCTTTGCCTTATATGTAACAACTCCTGGCAGTTGTGGGCAAAGAGGACTTCTACCAGGTAAGTGAGCTGGTAGCAGGAGGACAGATTTCTCCCACACTCCTCTGCCAGTTTGCTTTGTTTTAGTGGTGGCTAAGGAAGAGGGGAAGCCAATCCCTCAGGCCCGTTCTGTCTCTGGCAGCGCACTTTGCAGAATGCACATTTGTTTCACTAGCTAGGATCTTGGGTGTCCATACTAGACATGGAGGCATGTGAGAGGGCTTCCTAATCTATATGGGCAGCATGGAAAT